CTCTGGCATAATAGCTCTTTTAACCATGTCTTTAATTTCTAGTTGGCACTCTCCTGTCTCTGCTGGCTTTGGCCATGGTTGCCAGATGTGGTAGCTGCAGAGAAGGGACTGCTATTGTCACTAGAAAACTGTGGTGGCAAATAAGTTAGGGTTGCATAAAACTAATAAAACCTAAAAAACTCAGGTTTATGAGCTTCTGCTAACAGAAAAATTATTTTTTTAAAAAAAATTTAAACATAATATGACTTAGTCCCACAAAGTGTAAGGAGTACTTGGGTAAAGTTAACACTTTCCATATGTAAAAGACTAGGGTGGTTTTATTTTTGAGTATAGTATTGTATCCAGTTGAAATATATAGCTGAGCTGTTGTTTTGACTTTGAACCATTGAACTGAAATGACATTTTCATTCTACAGAAAGGCAGATTAAGGAAAGGAGAACGTTACTTTTTATCAAGTGCCTGCTCTTTGCCGGCCACAGGCTAAATGCTGCCGTGTACATTGTTCCATTGAATTCTTACAACTACCGTATTTACCACAAATTTTTTTTTTTTTGTATTAACGTTTTATTATCTTGTAAAAGATAATACAGAGAGATGCCGTGTGTTCATCACCCACTTTCCTCCAATGCTAACCCTTATATAACTATGATAGAGCATTGCAACTAGGAAATTGTCATTGGCCTTATTCAGATTTCACATTCTGTATGAACTCATTTGTGTGTGTCTGTGTATATTTCGTTCTTTGCAGTTTTACCACATGTGTAGGCTACCATTTCTTTTTAAACACAAGGGAAACAAGACTCAGGTAAGTTCTGGCAAATGCTGTCAAGTGTAGACCTGGGACTTGAATTTGGGTCTGTTTGATCCAAACTTTTGCTTTTTCAGTAATAATGTGATTAATAATAATAATAATGAATAATAATGGCTGAAACTCAACTAGTTCCCTATGAAACATATTAAGTTCTTACCATGTGACAGGGACTGTTCTAATATATTGACTCATTTAATTCTCCCAACAACTTATACCAGATAAATTATACCACAGTTGAATTAATATCCTTAATTAAACTCTAAGTCATATTGCCAAGGAATAGGTAATTATTTTTACAACTCCCTAAATCACCAACAAAATAATGAAATTCTACCCTCTTTTTATATAATTTCACATTTTTGAACCTCTGACCTTAACCACTGATCTGATCTTGGCAATTGATAACTTT